AAAAAAAAAAAAAAACTTTGATCCAAAGCTGACCAACTATTTTGACTTTTTTGGCTTTTTTTTTTCCCTTCTTTTATCAAAGCTAACCAACTAAGGTTTTGCAAGGGCTGATGGCTCTACAAAATATGAGTTAAATTACCATGATGTCCTTTTTATTTTTTTTCTAACATATGAATTTAATATTCATTGAAAGAGGGATAATGTGGTAATTTCAATGTCAAACCAATCACACACTGACATTATTGATGGTATTTCCACTTCACGAGTTTCTTTTTCACGGGTGTAATTGACAGTGAAATGGACAGGAGAGTACAATAATTAAGGTGAAAATAATAGTATAAGTTTACGGATTTTTTATAAAAGTGATAAAATTTAACAAATGAAAAATGTTTAGATAGTGTTTGGTAAGTTTATATTTTCAGTTTTTATTTACAAAAATTTTATTAATTATTTCTTTTTATTTTTAAAAAAATAAAAATTACAAACGCATTTGGTTTGAACATAATATTTATTGTCTAAATTTAATACACATAAACAAAAAAAAATGTCCATTTAGGTCTAAATTATTTATATTTATTATTTTATGACAATGGGATCATACACAATACAATTGAAAAAAAAAATTACAAAAAAAATTGCGCAAAATTAATTTTAAAAAAAATAACTGCAATAAAAATTATTTTGAAAAAAAATTAATTGAAAAAAAAATTAATTTTAAAAAAATTTATTTGAAAAACAAATTAATTGAAAATAAAAATTACTAACTCATTTTCTGAATTGAATTTTAAAAAGAGTTTGGTTATGAATGTTGATCAAAAATTTCAATTAAGCTTTGAGTTGTGTGTATGATCATAATTTATAACTTTTTGAATTAAGTTTTAAAAACTAAAAAAAAAAAAAAACACATAACTAACAAATTTTCTTACTTCACATTTCATATCAAACTTTCAAAACTCAATTCAAAACCATAACCAAATAAATTTTCTACACTCAAATCATGATTCCAAAACTCACAAATTCAAAATATAACCCCTGCTCTCAAATTATATTTAGAAAACTCTACCAAACACTACCTTCGATTCTTCATTTAGAATCTCTTACTTTCATGCTCCCCTTTGGATATTTTGGAGAATTCCGTAGGGGCATGACAGGTTGCTAACTTGTTACACATGCATAGTGGGAAGTTGTTCAGAAACCTTTCTCCTCTGCACAAGAAACATAATGAACTTAGTAACAAATGCATAGAATTCATTTTTTCTTTCAGATACAACAGTATTTTCAATGTAAACACCAACTATAATTTCCATGAGTGCTCCTTGAATGTGTACGATAGACCCTTACTTGGAAGCATGAAAAGAAATGTGAGTGTGGGGGAGAAGAGGCAGGAGCAGAAGAAAGAGTGTCTGCCAGTGTCTGCCAACCTAGATTTGTAAGTTTAGGAGCAGAAGTATGTATGCTGCTTCAGTTTATGGCATAGAAGAAGTGTCCAATATATTCAGCTTTCAATAAAGTATCACACCATTTTTGCTAACAGCAACATGCACACGGTTAACTAGCAATTGATACAGAAGAATCAAATTTGGTATCATCAGGTTCCTTTCACATGTATTATAGAAAATATGAAATTTCAAATCTTCCTAATGCTGAAATTAATGCCTAGACATTTCCTCTATGCCATCCTGTTGTGTGTTTGTAGAAACAAATTCAGCCCAAGACTAACATAACCTTAAAGCCTACATTTAAAAGTTTAGCAAGGTACATGGCACAAATAAAATGAATCCATCATAAAGCATAATTATCAAAATGTTACAATTTGTGAATAGAATCTTACAATTCAGATGGTTTGAACACCATTTTCGATATGAATCACTCATTGAATCTCATATCATAGAGATGGCACATGAAACTATGTGAAATAAAATAATTTCATGATTACTATAGATCATACAACCAAATTATTAGTAAAGGATCGTACTTTTGAATTATTGTTTGATGTTTTAGCGTTGTTAGTTGAAATCCGAGATAAATCTTCATCATCATCAAGAATAGCATCATCGATCCTGCGAACGACCTCTCTTGGTGCCTGAGAAAGAATTTTGACACCAAGTAAATCTCATGAGTACAAACTACCAGAAAATAGGGGCAGCAATATGGCAAAGTAGCAGTAGTTTGACAATATGATACTCACTCCAAATAATGATTTTATGAGTGCTTCATCATCTTCTTCCAACTTCTTTTCCTGTTGACAAAAAAAATCCTAGGACTTAGTAAGAACTGATGGTGATAAAATAGTATCCAAATTCACAGTTTTGAGTTCCTATGCTGCCTTGACAAATTCACACTGCAGCTATGATGTGGTCAAATAGCTATACCTCTGGATGATTTGTTATGACATCAATTGGTCCAACAGTTTAAAGTATAGAAATACTGAAGCTCAAATTCCAGCAAAATTATAGTTTGCTTTTGAATTCGAGCCCCATCAAATTCTCGTCAAATCAATACAGCCAGTGCCTAGCCTTAACACTGAACAGATTTTAGGTAGGCATGCCAAACCAGCCATTTAACTAACTTATCTCAAAAGAAGAAAAAGAGACATTCAAAGACTTTAATACACACACACACACACACACACACATATATATATATATCTAGAACTTAGTACTTGTGTTAATTTTCAGTTCATTGAGTTAAGGAGGCAACCCGAATCAAAACCTATTATGTTCAAAAGTGAGTAGAAGATTACTTGAATGCAGCCCATCCAAAAAAAAGGTCAAACTACATGCTTGCTTCAGGTAGTTATGCAGGTACAAAATAGTATTGCTAGCTAAACATAAATTCAATCCCACATTAGACACTGCTGCTGCCATTCACATAAATCTAGTACATCACAAAAGTGACCAAAATGGCAATTGGGCTTCATTGTTCAAGGCCTACACAAAATGCATTTACACCCAAAAGGTTGAAATAATGAACTAGCATAAATGCCCTTACCTTTTCCTCAGCTGAGCGCTGCAAGACCTCCAACATTGCATCTACCTTGATAGTTGCTCGTCTTGACTGAAAAAGCAGAAAGAAAACTTGTTTTAGTATGCTTAAAATATAAATTCAAGTTCACATCTGAGTAAAATGAATAAAACAACAAACTTTCACACTTGGCTAATGATCCCATATGTCAGCCAAATTGACATTTTAACCCAAAATAAGTTTACCAACCTATGAAGTTAATAAGGCCATGAATTCTGTAGCTGAATCATTAAGTTATTCTTAATACATCTAGAATTCCAGCCTCGGCCCTGCCTGACTCTATTGGGTATGAGTTGGGGTTAATCGGTGTTGGGGATTAATAAAACTAATCTGGTCGAGGTCGGAAATAGGGCATCCCATCCCTGAACCCCCAGATTTTTTATATATTGATTATCAACATACCACCTTAATATATGTTTATTATGTTCACAACGTATTAGTTATTTGACTAAGCAAGTACCCTCATGGACTTCACTTCATCCAGGGCAACAAGGATGTCCATCTCTCTTTTTGAATCCGAGGTTCTATTCGCCAAGGATTTCATTGCATCTCCCATCTCTTCAGTATCCCTTTTTTGTTTTTCCTTATCTGCTTCCTGACAAAGAGAGCAATGCACAAATTATATAAGAAGCCAAAATCAAATCACGATTACAACAAAATAAGGAGATCTAAAGATGAAATAGAAAGTTGTATATGGCATGCTAACTTAATACCTCACCCTTTGCATGCCAAGGTTCGAAATTCCGTAATGCACCTGACTCAACAACATAGTCTGAATTTTGCGGGTCGGTCTTTATTGTTAACTCAGCAGAGCACTTAGTGCATTTGAAATAAAACCTGAATATTTGGATCCCAAAGTATGTCTGCAAATAGTTTTAACATTTCAGTTAGTTCACTGAACAATAGTAATACGTATCTCATAATCAAAGTCTGAAAAGGATTTATTTAACCGATCACAGAAATAAGGATAAATAGAGTGAAGATAACAATATTATAACCATCTTTCAAACAGCATAATATTGATATTTCATCCAATGTCACCTCATGCTTTTACAAAGAATATGTTCAGTCAGGACATCACTTCATTAGGTTAATCCCTATGTGAAAGTAGAAAAGCTAAGATAGATCTAACAACGGTATCCATCTTTCAAACAACATAATGTTGATATTTCATCCAATGTCACCTCATGCTTTTACATAGAATATGTTCAGTCAGGACATCACTTCATCAGGTTAATCCCTATGTGAAAGTAGAAAAGATAAGGTAGAAGGTAAAAATCTGACACCTAGACCAGTAGTAGATTTGTAGTGACAGTACTGGGGGTACATTGAATCCACATAAAAATATGGTTGCTCTACTTAGAAAGTGTCTCTAGATTTATGATCAACAGTTGCCTTCTTACACAACTTGTGTTAATCCTCTAACCTCAATTGGAGACATCTACCATTCGTCAGTAGTTAAGAAATAATAGGTGACCCACAGAAACAGGGGAAGAATAGATCCTGAATTTTTGTGTTTTCTTCAACACCCCCCCCCCTCCCCCCCCCCCAGAACAAAAATAATGACTTTCTAGTTCATACGTAAAAACAAGTTCAAAAACACAAGAAGTTATGCAGACATTTTGATCAGTTAGAAATCGTAGTAGTTATGCACAACAACATTCTCTTTGGATAAAAACCTACAAAATAGTTTAAGGCCTAGATAATTAGTCCTTATCTAACATCAAATTAATAAAAAAAAAAATCTAAGTGACTATAAACTAATTAAAATGGTTTTCCTTATCAGTAATAAGCAGATTTATTTTCGATGTCAGAAACCTCTATTTAAAAAACAAAAAAATAATCATCACAGTACCAAGAGATACCGTTCCAAAAGGTTAACAATCAACCAAATGTCAAAACAAGTAACCTGTCCCATAAAAACTAGTTTTGTAAACATCATGAAAACACATCATATCCCACTATACCATAAAACACATCACATCCCACTATACATTACATATGAGGAACCTAAATTAGAAAGATCATAAAACACACATATCCCACTATACATTACATATGAGGAGCCTATGAATAGAACGCTTGATATGCACAATCACCAGCATGGAACCAGGCCCTAAAACATGCATGAACCAATAGCTATTTTGTTTTTTTATTATTCACTATGTGCTCATAGGGTGTAGCCTGATCAATGTGTCTAGGTGATTAAACACATACCACCAGCAAAAGCTGACGTACACAAATCTTTTGGTTCCCTACAAGTCCAATGGATAAAGCTCGAGCTGTGAATAACATCCAAAAAGTACACTTTCCTTCACAAAAAACTGTTGCCTCAATTACATGTCAACAATATTCGAGTTCTACTAGTATACCCAAAATTTCTAGCAATCAATCATTCTAAAACAATGACATAAATTTAGCAGGACTAATAGTGAGGGGTTTAATAATCCATGAGATTAGCATAGGATTGGTTATCCAGCTCGGTTAGTGAGATATATAATTCCCTCTTGTCCACGTTTATTTTGCAATAGATATGAAAATATATAATCCCAATTATATATA